CTATAGTTAATTAATAATGTATCAATGTGGCTGGGCATGGTGGCTCAAGCCTATAATCCCAGCACTTTGGGAGGCCGAGACGGGCGGATCACGAGGTCAGGAGATCGAGACCATCCTGGCTAACACAGTGAAACCCCGTCTCTACTAAAAAATACAAAACAAAAAAACTAGCCAGGCAAGGTGGCAGGTACCTATAGTCCCAGCTACTCGGGAGGCTGAGGTAGGAGAATGGCATAAACCTGGGAGGCGGAGTTTGCGGTGAGCTGAGATCCGGCCACTGCACTCCAGCCTGGGTGACAGAGCAAGACTCCATCTCAAAAAAAAAACAAAAAAAAAACAAAAAAAATGTATCAATGTTAATTTATTAGTTTTATTAGTTGTGCTACACAGTTACATAAGATGTTAACATTAAAGAAAGCAATGTAAAGGGCATACTGCATGTATTCACAACGTGGGTAATATCCCCTCCAAGAGATGAAAACTGGATCTTGAGTGGGGCAAAAAAACCTTACTTGCTTTATTTAATTTTTTTTCAATCTCAGACTTATGTGAGAATTCTCTTTTTATGTGCAAAGCACAAATATGTACAATACATAAACAGACATACTGTACATCCATAGTATTAAAATTTAATGGAAGGGGAGAAGCAATTAGGGAAAAATGGCTTTTTAGGGGATGATGTGTATAATTCAGGTGTTCCATGTATAATCATCTGCCATATAACAACATTTCAGTCAATCAGGGATTATTTAAACAATGGTGGCCCCATGAGATTATAATATTGTATTTTTATTGTGTCTTTTCTATGCTTAGACATACAAATATTTACCATTGTGTTAAGTAGCCTGTACCATCTAGGTTTGTGTAAGTACACTCTATAATGTTCACACAATGACTAAATTGTCCAATGTCTCATTTCTCAGAACATATCCTTGTTGTTAACCAACACATCACTGTAATTTGAGTCTGTGTTTCATTTAAGTTAATGCCATCCATGTGTTTTTATTAAATAACTTACTTAAACCATCAAGTGCCAGTGACTGGAATTTGAGTAATTTGAGTCTGTGTTTCATTTAAGTTAATGCCATTTATATGTTTTTATGACAATAACTTACATAAACCATCAAGTGTCAGTGATTGGAGTAGGAACTCTCAAATCCCTTGTTTGGAGCATTCAGAAAACCAGCCAAGTGAAGAAAAATAGAGCTAAAAATAGAGCTAAAAAACATATTTAGCTCCTGTCTCTCTGTATTTCAACCATATTCAATTGTCTCAATGCATTATGGTTCCTTCTACCTTGGACTAGTATTTCCAGAAATACCTCCCCAGCTCACTTTACTTGTGTAACAGCTGCCCAAGAACACAAGATTTCAAGTCAAATATGCCTCCCTCAGGGAAAACCTTCTTAGCCACTTAGTCTAGATTAACTCTCAAGCACCCTTATTACACAACCTTATAGCTTCCTGTGCTGCTTCTCCTTTGTTTTTATGGTGTACAGTGTGTGATGTTTTGATACATATATTCTGTGGGAAATGATCTTATTTTCTGTATTCTTTCTTGATGCTCTGGCATCTGGGGCATTGCTGACCCTGGAGATGCTGCCCCTCCCAGGGCTAGCTGATTCCTAGAGATAGCAATTGCCTCTCCTGTGAGCTGCCATTTATAAGCAAATCAACCAGTCCAGAACCCAAATTCACCAACTACCTCCTTTATTGAGCTCTTACAAGTTGAACTAATATTCTTCTGCCCTTATCACTCCAGGACCAGATACCAGACAGCTCCTACCCCTTAGAACCCCATGAAATTATTCAAACTAGCCAATCTTAAGCATGCTTCTTCTGCTTACTCTGCCTAGGCCATTTCTCCCAACAAAAACCACAATAAAGGCTCTCACCCACGCTTTTTCACCCTCACTCCTTCTGACTCCTGACCTAAGACCTTGGTGCTTCCCCATGTGGCCAGGTGGCCCTTCCCCACATTCCCCCTCCTCCTGGGAGTGATGAGTAAAACACTGTCTTTTCCATGGCAACCATCTCCTGATCTGGTTGACCTCACCATGCCTGAACAAAAACAAAATCAGAAGTACATTTTAAAACAGGAAGTTTCCTTAACCACCCAGAGCACAGTTGACACCAGGTATTTAGCTAATGCTTTAAGGGTGACAGAAGCAACAGAAGCCAGAGTGGCCTGCACAGCTATTATAAGAAGTCACTCTTGCAGCACATGATGGGATCTAATCCTAGGGGCCAAGTACAGCCCCACAGATTTCCACGTTGCGGGAAGCAGCTTAACCCCTATTCCACAAGACTCTCTGGCCTCCCAACCCTTCCATGTCCTGGCCCCCAATTATTTTTTTTTTCCTTTTTGAAACAGAGTCCCACTTTTCTTTTTGAGACAGTCACCAAGGCTGGAGTGTAGTGGCACGAACATGTCTTAATACAGCCTTTACCTCCCAGGCTCAAGTGATCCTCAAGCCTCCGTCTCCAAAGTAGATGGGACTATAGGGACGCACCACTACGCTTGGTTAATTTTTGTATTTTTTGTGGAGATAGGATCTCCCCATGTTGCCCAGGTTGTTCTTAAACTCCTGAGTTCAAGTGATCTGCCTGTCTCAGCCTCCCAAAGTTCTGGGATTACAGGCATGAGCCACCACGCCTGGCCAGTGGTCCCCAATTCTTTTTGGCTGAGTGAGAGAAGGGGGCCCTCATTTTTTACTCCAGGATGGTCCATCTTGGAAATATCTTTGAGTAGTCTTTTAAGTAGAAAACACTTTATCAAACTACAGAGTGACTTTCATGGCCCAGATGAAACAGTCATAATAGCTAATGCTACATTTTCCCAGTAGTTGAGTTCCTCAATATTAAATAGCACTATGTACAGAACTCCAAAATTTTAACCTAATTTGATATTTAGGAGAAAAAAGTTAATCTATGTCATCCAGAGAACAGTCTTGTTAAAGCCACAATGTGTTCACAGTACTACAAAGATCATACAATAGGTTAACCAACTGCTCTGCATTTAAATTTTTTATGACTTCAGTGTTTTCTCTGCAAACAAACAAAAAAAAAGAGGATATTTTATATTTGTTAATCTAAGGAATTCATGTCAGTAATTTTCTCAAAGTAAAGTAAGTCTGCTGGGAAGTCAAAGCCTCTATCTCTAGAATGATAAAACTGCCAGCCACTTCCGAACAGAAGTTCTCTTACTTACAAAGGAAATGAGAGTTCTGTCTCTACCAGGAACTCCTCTCAGGGGTAGGGACTTGAAGTTAACCTTGGTGATTCTGAGGAAACCACCACAAGGTTCTCTATAGTAGTTATAGAAAACCCACTGGACTTGAAGACACCAGAAGCCCTCATCCACATGAGTGCAAACATATTGTGTGGAGAAATGAGCTCTGCTCTGCGCTTGCAGAGATGGTGGATCTGGTAACTGAGTCAATGCCTCTACACACCTGTTGCTTCTTGGGAGCGCTGTGGTGTCTATTTCTCAGTATATGTTAGATTCCTTCTATGTGTAATTACTAGCTCTCTGGGTGTTGCCACTGGGCCATTGTAGCAGGTAATGCAGAACTGAATGGAAACAAGTACAAGAGGGGCATGCCAGCGTGCCAGAGGAGGAGCTGGGAAAGGACTCAGGCCTCATGCCAGAGGAGGAGCTGGAAAAGAACTTGGAATGGTGATGTTCCAGACTTGAGGTTGATAGAGACTGTTTCACTGAGGTTCTAGTTATTATATTATTATTCACTACCTCATCTTTCTGAACCTCAGTGATCATACTAGTAGTAATATAAGCCCAAATTAATTTTTTAATAGGCAGAGCTAACTCCACCCCTACTACTAGGAAGATCTTTTTGTTAAGTTAACAAAGAGGACGCCAGCCAGCCTGGAGTGTCTACCCAGGGAAACTCTATTGAGCCGTATCTGCTTTCAGCAAATGGTTGCACTTAGAAAGGAATTATTATATTTATTAAACTAATATTCAGAGAGCAGTAGACATGAATCCAACACACACAAGTAATGTAAATTGAATACCTCACTTTAAGCCTATAAGTTCATGTACAGGTCACTATAATTGCCATTTATAATCCAAGGGCAATACTTATACACTTTTGGTGATTCCTCGGGAATTATCTGTAAAAGCTCTAGATTTTTAATTTTTGGCAATTTGGTGTACGAAGATTTTAGGTACTAATTTAAAATCCTAGTAACTATTAGGTAAACAAGACCTTGAATTTTAAAATTGTATACTCAGATTCAAGTATGAATTTGGATTTGTATGATCTAAAACGCAAGTATATTCCTTTGAAAACTGCATAATTGTGAGAAAAGTGCAGACCAAACCCATATTGAGGGACATTTAGCAAAATAACTGGCTTATACTCTCTAAAACTGTCTAGGTCAAAGCTTCCTCAGGTATGGTTCCAAATTAAAGGAGGCTAAGGGGACAGGACAACAAAAGGTCATGCATGGTTCTCAATTGGCTCCTTGGACAATTGATGAAATCTAGATATCTCTAGACTTAAAAATAGTATTTTCTCAATATTAATTTTCTAATTTTAATTAATTCTAATTAAAATAAATTTTAATTAAAATTAATTATATGTGTGTGTATATATGCATATATTATATATAATATATGTGTGTATATATACACACATATATTTTTATATATACACACATATATATGGATACAGAGAGAGAAAGAGAATGATAAAGGAAATATGGTAAAACAGGAATATCTGGGTAATTTGGGTGCACCTGAAATTTTTTGTATTGTTTGCAACTTTTCTGAAAATCTGAAACAATTTTTGAAACTCACTCACCAACAAGTCTCCTGCTGTTCTAAATAGTCACGAAACAGCATATCCGCACACCTGGCAGCAGCTTGCTCTCTGCCTCCCTGATTTATTCACAAAGCATTAAAAAGTCCTTTCCCCGTTTTCCTGCTAGTACTGTAGGCCAAGTTTATTTTTTATTTTTTATTTTTTATTTTTTGACTACTCAAAGACTTTCTTTTATTAGTACGTGGGCTGGGATTGATGGGAAGGGATAGATGTAGTGGGCAACCATGGTTAGCATCGGATGCCCATCCCAATGGCCATGAATGTGCCAAACGTGCCGCCACTCTGCATCATGGTTTTCCCAATGCCGCCCATCAGCTCTCGACCCCGCATTCCGATCCTGAGACAGGAAAAGGTGCCGAAGAGCGCCCCGGCCGCCATGCCCACGGCGCAACCCATCACGAAGCCCATCTTGACGCGGTCGAAGCAGCTTGGCTGGGACTGTCCGTAGGGACCCACGGCCACCGGCATCTCACCTAGCTCGCGGCCTCGGTCGCTCAGCTCTCTGTAGGCCAAGTTTATTACTGGCCTCCCTGACACATAATATTTTTTCCTTTCTCTGTCATCCATAGAACTGAAAACTCCCTGTTGTTTCAAAGATATTCTGTATCAGACAAAGCATTAGTGCCTTTCCATTTAAGGTTGTTGGTCTACAGGGGGCAGAATTCCAAAAAGATTTGGGCTTTGTTGTTCCACTAACATCCCCCACACATAAATCCAACTGTGTGAGGAAAAAATTTGTTCCTATATAAGAAGAAAAACTCATTTTTAAATCATGACAAATAATGAAAGAAGAAATAGAAAAAAAAAAAGAAAAGAAAAGAAAAGAAAAGAAGAAGCCTGAACTACCATCCATCTGGCTCCAGGAACACAGGGCTTTGAATCTGAGGAAATCTAAATGAGGGCTCAGAGCCTCTCCTTGGGCTCATACAATTTCCAAACATTAGCAGGAACATTCCAGGTGGCCCCCTGCCCACATCAGAGTAAACGTGGTATCCTCTGTTCTTGTTTTCTCCATCCTTGTATGTCCTCCCTATCTTGCCTATTCTTACAGAAAGTTTTCCCTGGGATATAATGAAATGGCCCATACAAAAATGTACACTTGTCACTTAAAGATGAAAAGTATAAAATGAAGTAAAATAAAAACCAATGGAATCCTCTTACCTTCAAATAGCAGTTGTTGTGTGAAACAGATTCCGCGTCTATACCAGGTCCCTAAGGATTTGAGCCTACCTCAATGCATGCAGAATATATAGGGAGAGGTTATAGATCTGGGTTTTTCATTACACAAGGTGTTTTTGATGAGTCCTCAGCGAAGATCCACTTAAAAACAAAAGCTACACAAAGACTACAAAAAGGCCACACAAAGTTTAAACAAAAGGCTAAAGAAAGAGCAAACAAAAGCCAAAGAAAGTTTAAACAAAGAGTGAAACAAAGACAAAACAAAGGCCAAACAAAGACAAAAACAAAGAGCAAAAGAAAATCTAAACAAAAGCTAAGCTAAACTACAACCATATCACACACACACACACACACACCCCACATTCACTGTACAGCCCCCCAGCATTCATGTATTCCAGCTTCCTACCTCCCACATCCCACATAATCAACATCCCATGTGAAAACTCACCCCTCCAGGTTCATTCCACACAAACTCCAGTTAAGTTCCATGCCAAGTCCAACCACACCACACACCAGCTCACCCCACCAAACCACATACCCTTCCACCAACATGCTACACCACCACAGTGCCATCCCACCCAGCACCCCATATACCTCACTCCCACATAACAAGCCATACCCATAAGCCATGAACATGTTGCAATCACATTGACAAATTCCAGGAGTTTTATACTCCATGTAGATTAAATAACCATCCCCACTTCCTTCCGTAAAACACTCATGTATACCCATAGATACACCCCAAAACTAACATTCACACACACATGCCCTTGTACACTTGATTTAGCAAGAGTCTAATCCAGCCCAGTTACAACTAACATTGAATTTGGGAGTTTCCATGACAATTACCCTATGCATTCACATTTATAAAAACATGTATAAATCATCTCTTATGTTGAATAGTTTCTGCAAATGATGAATCTCATTAAATTAACAGTTTATTAGCATCAGTCTTAGACATCGGCATTTCCTTATAATGTTCCTAAAATGTGGAGCCACACCTTTCTGTGCTCTGTTAAATGCCAGGGGTCCTGTAATTCTGCTTCTGCTATTTATTTTATATATGTAGAACTACCCACTAATAATTCGAAAGATGAAAGCTTACTTCTGAAACCAATCCAACCAACAGCAGCCTTGCCTTTTGAATTCCCAGAGCCCCCTGCATGACAGTGTAATATAAATGTCAACATTACCACCAAGTTTCTCTTTAGGCTCTTGTCTCAGTAAAGAATCAGCCAGGGAATCTTGAAGAGATAATCCAGTGAGACTACAAACGTTGACTATAATCTCTCTGTGCACTAACATTTTTGTTTTTGTTTTTGTTTTGAGATGGAATCTGGTTCTGTCCCCCAGGCTGGAGTGCAGTGGCACTATCTCAGCTCACTGCAACCTCCACCTCCCGGATTCAAGCTATTCTCCTGCCTCAGCCTCCTGAGCAGCTGGGACTACAGAGGTCCACAACCATGCCTGACTAATTTTTGTATTTTTTAGTAGAGATAGGGTTTTGCCATGTTGCTCAGGCTGGTCTCAAACTCCTGACCTCAGGTAATTAGCCTGCCTTAGCCTCCCAAAGTGTTGGGATTACAGGCTTGAGCCACCGCGCCCGGCCTCTTCATACACTGACTTTATAGTTAGTTAAACATTCCTTCTCTGAGTAAATGAGTTACAGACGTATGCTGGTTGATTCACTCCCACTGTGATGCCAGTATTTTGCTTGTGTTGTACTGACTGTGACTGAGGGCTAGGGAGTAGGGTAGGATGATTTAGAGTTTGAAATCTGCAGGCCCTGACACTGGGATCATCTCAGGACCCATCTCAAGGATTTGAGTGAGGACTAAATCAGTTGATATGCTTGCACTGGTGGAAAGAATGCCTGGCATACGGAGTCCTGCACCAATGCAACTCTTACGGCCCTGGCTCTAAAGAAGGTTACCAACAGAGGTGGGTGGCAGTTGTAAGGATTTGTTTTCTATTCACAAAATAACGAGACTAATTCAGGCTATTTAAAAAATACAAGATCCAGTAGATATATTACAAAACTCTATCTTTATTAAAGACCCTCTGCTTCTCAAATCTTTCCAACCAAAGTTCTTAATGACACATTTTGGGGAAGTCCCATCTTTGATCTTCTACTCCACCATATATAGGGTGATATATCATTTATGCAACCCAAGTATGGAGGTTCCACAAAATGCTCGTAATGCCATCTCTTTCTATTTCTACTTAAATGTTAGTGCTTGCCCTTAGTGCGGTGGCACTCTCACTCCCAGAACCACTGGGGAGGCCATGTCTGAGTCAGTGTCACTCTTCTTGAATGGCAGCCTGTGTTCCACATAGAGCAAGACCTTCCAGGACTCACAGTCACAATTAAGAAACTTGCTAACACTACAGAGAATTTTCCCACAGAAACTTTGGCTACAGTTGACAATCCCCACATGTTATGAATTAAAATGTGTCCCATCTCCCATCTCTCAAATTCCTTTGTTGGAGTCCTAACCCCTAGTATCTTAGAATTTGGAATGAGGCCGGGTGCAGTGGCTTACGCCTGTAAGCCCAGCACTTTGGCCAGGAATTTGAGACCAGCCTGGCCAACAGGGCAAAACTCTTTCTCTATTGAAAATACAAAGAAATTAGCCGGGTGTGGTGTCATGTGCCTAACATTACAGAGGATTTTAACTCCCAGCTATTCAGGAGGCTGCGAATTGAGAATCACTTGAACCTGGGAGGCAGAGGTTGCCGTGAGACAAGATTCCACCACTACACTCCAGCCTGGGTGACAGAGCAAGACTTTGTCTCCAAAAAAAAAAAAAAAAAAAAAAAGAATTTGGATTCAAATAAGGATTTGAAGACAGACCACAGAGGTGATCAAGTTACGAAGTCGCTAGGGTGGGCTCTGATGCAACATGACCAGTGTCCTTACATGAAGACATCTGAACAGAAAGACACATTTGGAGGGAGGACAGTGTGAAGTCATGGGGAGAAGATGATCATCTACAAGCCAAGGAGGAAGGCCTGGAACAAATCCTTCATTCACAGTCCTCGGAAGAAACCAGCACTGCCCATACCTTGACCTCAAACTTCAAGTTTTGAGAACTGTGAGACAATTCATTTCTGTTGTGTATGTCACCCAGTTGGTGGTACTTTATTTCAGCAGCCCTAGCAAACTAATACGCCACAGTGACAATAAGTACTATTTTAATTGGTTTCTACATTTATCAAAATAGCACTTGTGCAAAGTTATAATAATATTAAAAGGCTTATGTTGGAAAACAATAGTCCCTTGTGCTGCCTCACCCCACTCAAAATCCCAGCCACCAGAGGCAACCATTTTAAGCTTTTTTTTTTAGCTATCTTTCCTCTATTTATTTCCATATACTAAGTAATTCACACAAATAGCCATTTATATACCTATTTATGGTAGGTTATTGGCTTCCTTTTAAGGGTGTAGTTTTCTTACATTCTACTTTTTCCTCTCCCTTTTCCCTTACCTACTGAATGTAGTTAGTTAATATTTATATTATTATAAATATGTAAATATTCTCTCCTACAGAACCTTGTGATTAACTACGATTGTTTCCTTTCTTTGTACAAATTTCTTGTTCCTGGAATTAATAATCGCCCCATTTTTAATTTTATTCATTTATTTTAATCTGCTTAGTTTTAAATTTTACACTTCATCATTTTTTCCAAATATTCCAACAGATCTGTCAACTATCTGCTAATAATTTCTAAGCATTCCAATATACTGAATGATCTTTCACATCTATTGTCTTCTGTAATCCTCTGTCATCTCGTTCAGATTTCAGGCTGGTTGCTCTCTAGACCCGACGCAGGCCTGGGTCTTCCCTTCATTGCTTTGCTGGAAAGAAATCACCTTGTCCAAGATCCCATGCCATCCTCATCTTTCCGAAGCATGCCTTACAATACCTTTCCTAGAAAGAGTATATATTAAGTGAATTTTTTCAAGTGTTTGTGTCCCTGAAAACTCCTTTACTCTGCCCTCATACTTGATTGCCTGTTTGGGTATAGAATTCTAAGTTGAAAAGTATTTTCCCTTAGGAAAATGATGTGGATGATACATTGTTTTTCTGTATCTTCCCCTCCAGTGTTGTTTTTGAGAAGTTCTAGACCTTTCAGATGCCCGTTGCTTTTTCTGTGATTTTTTTTAAGCCTCTGGAAATGTTCAAGATCTCATTTTGACCCCAGTTGTCCTGAAATTTCATCATTCAATGTGAGTATTTTTTCATCCCCACTTGGTGGAGCATTTTCATCTGGAAATTCATAAAATTCCACTCTAAAAATTCTTCCTTTTTGTTGTTGGTTTTGTTAATTTATTTTTCTCCATTCTCTTTCTTGTTTCTTGAATTTCTGTCATTTGGCTTTTGAACTATCTAAATTGATCTTCTAAATTGTTACTCATTCTTCTCTTTCCTAGTTTCCAACTCTTTGACTTCTTGTTTTATCTTTCATGAAGTTTTCTTATTTTATTTATTATAACTATCTTTTTGAATTTGATACTTCATTTTGACAATTATATTTTTAAATTTCAAGACTTCATTCTTATTTGCTGACTTTTCTTTTTTCAAAGCACATAGCATTTTCTGTAAACTAGGAAACTAGGGAAATAGTAACTACCACACAGGGGGATGTTGCTTGGTTGTGGTTTTCTTTGTGTCTTTGTTAGTTTTGCTCCTTGCATTGAATTGGTTTGCTTACTCCACCTTTCTTCATCCTGGTTATTTGTTTCCATCTCTCCCCTTCTAACCAAAAGTTGTCCTCTTTATCTGGTGATCTTTCACTGTCCATTACTGCTTAATAGTCAGCCATTCAAGAGATGACTGGAGGCTCCAGGTAGAAGGATGGGTTTGATGCTGGGGAATGCCGCAGGCACCCATGTTGGCCTTTACAACAACGAACCTAGAAATATAAGTAGCTGGAGGATTTTTCCATAGAGTCATTCAGTTTCTTCAATGAAAAGCCATCTATTTTTCAGCCTGACAGGGGAAAGGAAGATACAGAAGTTTGAACACCATGCTATTGATATTCTGTTCAAAGTAGACAAGGGACCTGAGGGACTCACATGAGTGTTCCTCACTGTTCCTGAATCAGGAAATTTCTC